TTAACGGCGCTTTTCTGTGTGGTGCATCGCGAATTGTAGGGGAATCCGGCGGGGAAAAGGGAAAATGGAACGTAATGGCCAAGACGCATGCGTGGCACTGCGGACCTGGCCAAAAACAGAGCAAAGAAGTCCAGACACGCAGCAAGCAGTCAGATGGAGCGAAACTAAGTCAAACATTTGTAGAACACGGCGGAGAATCGAACAGAGGGGCTGCAGTCCGCAGAACTCCCGGAGGGAATCGCGGATGAAAAAGTGGAAAATTTATGGGCCCCAAAAGGCGAATAGATGTCGTAGATTCCGCATGCTGCAGCGAATAGTTAACAGGCGAGGATGGGGGCTTAGCCGAAGCTATCTTGTAGATCCATGGATATATGTAAAATATAGGTTGGAGGAATTGATAGGTGCCCACCACGAGATAGCAATCTTTTCCTGAGATACCAAAAACGAAAACAGCAAGCCCATTTGTGAACTTCCCTTGAACTCCGTTAGCTGACCAAAAGTGCTTTTTAATTGGTCGAAGCTGCAATTTGCATAGACCATTTCCAGCAGTTATCGCTCGGAGGTCTCACATTCGAAACGGGTCCCAGTTTCCATTCGGGGATCCTGCTCAGCAGCGCAACATGTGGCAAACATTTTAGTGATAAGCCGCTCTGCAAAAATGTTGGCCAGCATGGTACCCAGCTGTCTGTTCCGCTTTTGGCCAAGCTCCAATCTCGAAAGCCAAACCCCGTCCCCTGGGCGCTGTCGGTTTTGTGGCATTTGTATTGGCAAATCAATGATAATGACATTTATTTGAGCCAACTCCGATGCGCTCGTGGCCCGTTCTCGAGCGGCGCTCTTGCCCAAATCCGCTAATAAGCCATTTTGACAAATTGGATGATTGCCGCGCAATCGTTCGCCTGCCAGAAGCAGATGGGACGTCCCAGCGATTCCTGTCAACTGTGAAAGTGTGGTGGCGAAAGTGAAGATAAAATGTCATGCAAACAACTTCTCGGCAGATACGGAAAATTGCGTGAAAATGGAATGTGGCTGCTTATTCGATATGGAAATTATTTGTGCGAAATGACAATGGCAAGGCGAAAGGAAATGTATCAAGTTAAAGTATCTATTTAACATATATTTAACTTAAAATGAAAACAAAATTGTGTTGTATGACTTGTGCTGCTTACACCACTCAGTTTGGGTTACAAGTATGGAATTACAAAAAATACTAATCTAGATTCCAGAATAGATATTCAACACATCTAAAATTTATACAACTTAAATAAAAATTTTTTATGCATTAAAACGATTCCTTTAAAAAACACATATTTTAATAATTTTAATAACAAAACTTGAGAACTTTAATATGTATCCAAACTTTAATTATTCTCAAATATTTACGAATGAAAGAAACTTTTTATTTCACACCGGCATCTTGAAATATTAACAACTTAATATGTATTTCAATATTTATGAGTAAGTTTATTTTGTAATTTACTTTATAAAATCATATTTGTTTTGGAGTATTGTGTAAATTCGTTTGTGTAATTGCTTCGTCTCCCAGAACGAATCGCTTACATCATATCCCTCTGGTAGCACGTGATTGTGTTCTGGCACTCGGCATCGTGCACCTGGTGAAAAACTGAGAAAATAAAAAATAAATTGGGCATATTAAATGTAAATCATTTGATGGTGTGGATAAGAGCATTACCATTCTTGGTGTTGAAGCAGTTCCATTGAGTCAGCTCGCATTGGCCTGGAAAATTGACCACACACTTGCCATTGCTGGCGCATACGGATAAAGCTGCTTTGGGACACTGGAAATTACATTTTCCCAGTTTCATTTCCTCGCGGTGCTGGGAAATTAGTTGGGGGATGTGGGCGTGGACTAGGTTGACTATATTGGAGACCTTGTCGGGAATTACCAGCGAGCGACCTGTTTTGCCTTCATTTGGATGAGGTGTTGTTTCGGAATGCCCCTGATCCTTATGATTTTCCTTGTCCTTTTGGAGCTGCTCCTTTTCTTTCTGCGCCTGCTGTTCCTGCTTTTGTTTAATGGCTTGGTTCACGGCCAAAGGAATATGTTTCTCCGCCTGCTGCATCACCTTCGTCACATGCAGTTGCAGTTTGTGAAGCTTTTCGGCCACATTGATGGGTGTGTGCACCACTTGCTCCACCGGCGGCATCACCACCTTATTCTGCACCACCGGTCTTCCCTGGTGAATCAGAGTACCGGTGGCCTGATGGTTGGTCACCCTCACCCTCACCTGTGGATGGCCAGTTTGCACCTGTTGTAGGCCAGATTGCAGCGCAGGTGCAACCTCTGGGATGTGGGCAGGGGCAGGGGCAAGGACATCACCAGAGTGTGCCAGTGGTGGAAGGAGATCTGGATAGGGCTTGACCACTGGCGCGCCACTACCACTCCCACTCCCACTCCCACTCCCACTCCAATCCACTGGGCCAGTCAGTGTGCTTGGGACCTGTGGCTTGTTCTTTATATGCTGCAGCACCTGATTGACGTGGCTGGTTATCATGTTCTGGATGTGAATGGGCAGCTCAGTTTGCTGGGGCTTCCCCGTCGTGGTTTGGGGCAACTCTGCGGCTTGGCCCAGCGACAGGATGGCTGCGGAAGTTTAAGGACTTACATTATGATTTTCCAGCAGGCAAAAAAAAAATTAATTTTAGGTTCACGTTTTGTAAAGGTTGTAAAAATCAACACTATTGGTATTGTTTAAGATTTAGCTTTATAAAATTGAAAAACAAACCGAAGGTTAAAAATATTATTAATTAACATAAAACTTGTAGTCTCACAGAAACATTTAATTATTAATTAGTTAAGGAATGATTTGTCTAAATCAAAATATTAAAATTATGAATGACATTCTGATTGTTTCACTTGATAATCACTTGATATAACTTTTTATATAATTTTTTAATTCTTCCGTTTTGCTTACACAGTGCTTAGTTTAGTTAAAACTTACCTAACACCAAAATAACTTTCATGTTTCTGAGATAATCCATACTTGCGTTCGTTTTCGACACTCAAAGGTGTTCTGTGACTCTTTCCCCAAAAGCTGGCACTTTATAAAGCCTTTTCGAGCTCCCTTAAACGTCACCAGCCTTGCAAACGATTTGTTTAATAACATTTGTTCATGTTATTATTTGGTTTTTATGTAAATTCTCAGCACACGAGTTGCTAACAGGTTTTTGGTTGCGCTTGAACGGACCAGTGAGCTGAGATTAGCACTTTGAAGGAAGGTGACGATGGAGAAGGGGTTGGGAAATACTCGTCTTCCAGCTGGACTTATCTCTCACATTGCTTTTATCGTTTCCTTATGGAACGTAATGTCTGGATATGGCATTTTAAAATAAGAATATTATGTGATATATTGGAAAAGCGACCAGAAAATATTTAAATAATTTATGGTGTCAAAAAATATATTATGTAAGATAGCACTGGTTAGCGTTGTCAGTAATAAAAGCGTATTAACGTCAAATTTCCAAAATTAAATTATATGAAACGTTTACATTTATATAACTTTTAATGTCGGTATTAAAAACATTAAACATACTTAACAGGTAAAAAATATCAATACATTTTATAAGTTTGCGCAATAAAAATAGGTTACCAATTTTGACCATAATCTTTTACAACAACGAATAAGACTTTTTTTTAGAAGATATTAACACCAGTGGTTGTCATTGATGAAAGCTTACTAACTTTAAAAATCCTTTATTAAAATACATAATATTTATAATATTTATATTTCTCAGGTCGCAAAGATGAAAACATTTTTTTACATGGGTAATAACACTATGCTATAAAATTTATTATAACAATAATAGGATTCTTTCTAATTTACTTAATAATATAATTACTTTATTTCTAATAAAAAACATTAAATTGCTTTGAAATTTATAAATGGGTAATTCTTTCGAGAGATCAACTGCAGATAATCAATTCAAAGGCTATTAGAGAAGGAACAATCAAATTTTCAGATTGTACAATACCAAAATTCAACTAAATAATAATATAAATATAAATAAAATTGTAACAGAAATTGCAACACACAAAAGACTGTAAATTCCAGGAAAAAATTAAGTTATAATTAAATTAAAATTAAAACTGATTGATTACATTAAAGACATATTTTTAAGAGGCACTTTAAGTCTTATCAAAATCCGATTTTTTATCTTTGGCGACAAGTTTCAAAGACATGGATAATGGTTTAAGCCAGGGATGAAGTGGTGTATTAAGAGTGTTTGTCAGCAAAAAAAAATAATATGTAACTCCAAATATATGGGCTGAATAACTAAAAATGTAGCCAAACATCGAATTTTTGTATTCATAGCTGTACAACGGAACCCTTAGCTGATGCAACATAAGTTTAAATGGGACTTTTACTCAGGAGCACCCACTTTTTATGAAAATTTCAATGGATCGCGGAATTTGTAATCTGTGTACCCATGCCATTTGGGTAAAACAGTGTATTTTATTGAGTTTTATATTGGTCATTATTTCACTTATATTTTTGAACTGGTCAGAATGTATCGTTTAAATCCTTAATACCATTTTCAAAAAGTTATACATTTTCCATCAAACCAACAAATTAATAATTTTCAAACAAAGAGCATTAGCGCTGTCCAACCAAGCGGAATTTTCCACAACTACGAAAAAATTCACAATTCAAAGCGTACTTTTAGGAGGCACATACAGTAAAAGCAAATTTAAATGCTAACAATAAATATGCAAATTAGGCATTTCAAAGTTTTATTTTTAGCCAGGCGGGCCGTTTCATTACAAGGCAGACAAGGATAAAAATGACAGACAAAGCTGTTGATGCCGCTGATGATGATGCAATTTAATATCTCTGGCAGGTGTTAAAATAAGGGATTATGCAGCGAATCAGGAAGAACAGACCGCAGCATCGGCAGTAGAAACAAAAAGCTTTCATCAGCAGAAATTCGTTGGGCATTGGTGTATAAAATGTGGCCAGTTGGTGGCAAAATCAACAGTTTAACAGTTGCTGCGAACACAGCAAGGTAAACGCAACAAAAATAAACATCAACAGTTTCAACCGAAAGTCCATCAAAAACCAACAATGAAGCTTCTGGCGCTAATCTTTCTGGGTACGTTTTTTTTTTTTAAACCGAATCATAATTAATTTATTATAAAAATATAATTTTTTGCAGCTGTTGTTGCCTTTGCTGCCGCCAAAGTGGTGCCCACGTCGAACAGCAACAGTCTGAGCATTGATCAGCATGGCAAAAGGGTTTATGCGGACGAAGTCGAGGATAAATGCGAATATTTTTGTGCTGAAAAGGACCCTTCTGTTTGTGCCAGCAATGGACAATGCCTACTGAAGTTTGAGAGTCGCTGCGCCATGGCCGCGTACAACTGCCGCAATCCCCAGAAAATGTTCAACACCGTGGATGACCATCGATGCCTGCAAGATTGGCAGCCACTTTGCATGGAGTCAGATCTCAAGGAGTTTGGCCTGTAAAAAAGGTCTCGGTTGAAAGGTTGTAGGTTAAGAATTTAATAAAACCAATTGAACAAGATAAAGTAGTACATGTTTCATATCGCTGTATACCTAAACCAAGAAGAAAAGCTTAATAAGCAGTTCTTACCTAACAGAATCTACTTATTAAAAGTGTTTCTTTTTAAGCTAAAAATCTAAGTCAATATTAAAAAATTATGTTTTCTGTCGGTCAGGTTTTTGCTTATGCGTTACTAGGATGGTTGAAAAAAATATTTTTCTTAATGTCGGGACTAGCGAGAAAAAGGAATAAATAACAAGCTGCGCAAAACCAAAAAGCGTTAGCTACCATCAATGGTTAATAAATCAAAAGAAGTTAATATGGCTGAGGGAAATACTATTTAGCCGACACATTTAAATACAAGTTTTTTTTTATTATCATAAGTATATAATTTATCTTATAAAAACCTAATAAGAAGAGCAAGTATTAACATAAAAGTAACTCTCTATTAAAATAAGAAATAAAATGTTTGTATACTCAATACGATACTCACAAAACATTAATGTGAAATCATTTTGAATTAAAGTGTTTTTTGTATTGGTTTTTATATCGACCTGTAAATCAAATTTCATTTGCTTGCTAAGCTCGAGGGGATGGCTAACACAAAGTTTTAATAACTTTCATCAGACTTGCACCAACTGAATAGTGAAACCCAAACATAATATAACTAGCTAGTTACTTCAGACTTATAGTTATCACTAGGGATATAAGCTTAAATTTGGAACTTCTCTACGCTTCAGAAGCTTGACTTGGTTTATTTTGAAATTATTTATTTTGATTTATATGTAAAGGATAAAGTAAAGATCTAAAATTAATACTCGTAGTGTGTGGTATCTTAAAGCTTCAGGTCCTCCTCCTTGCATTTCTTCATACAAATTCCCATCCGACAGACTTCCTCATCCACTGCACGGAAGGCCAGTTCCCGATGCTTGCAGTTGAAGGTGTCCATCACGCACTGGTTGGCAAACTCGTGGACACAGTTGCCATTGTGGGCACAAATGGGCAAGAACTCGCCCTTGGTGCACAACAGATCGCAGTCCTCCATCGGTGGAGGTGTCATTGTCATCATATCCGTTGGGGGCATGGTAGTCATGCCTCCCATCAGCAGGTGGAAACAATTCCTGGTTGGCACTCGTTTGACCATGGATGTGGACATGGGTGAGGTGGTGGTTCGACTTGGTGGCATTGGCATCACAACAACCGGCATAAGTTCGGAGGCATCGGGATTGGGAATGCCAGGATTGGGAATTCCATGATTCGGAATGCCAGGATTGGGAATGCCATCATTGGGGATGCCACGATTCGGAATTCCATGGTTCGGGATACCAGGATTCGGAATTCCATGGTTCGGAATACCGGGATTGGTCACATCATGGTTGTATCTCCCCGAGCTCGAAACGGATCTTGCCATCCTGATCTTGGTCTCCTCCTTTACTGTGGGTGGCACCACTACCTCCTGAACAACATGGACCTTTCCCGGCTTTATCTCCTCCACGGTGGCGATTTCCTCCTTGTCCTGATTGGTAAGGATTACGGGCTTTCCATTGGACAGCAACGGCACTTGGATGGTAATCCGACCGATTTCTGCATTTGGCACAACCTGCGCTGTGGCGAAGACAAAACACAGCAGCACTGAAAATACAAAAGTCAAACTCATTCCTGTTTCACAAGATGAGGGATATTCAGGTGCCCACCTGCGGCCAAAGGATAACACAGCTTAAACATCTTGAAACTTCAACTCCAATGTCTTCTCTGTCCTTGACTGTTTCATAAACGGGCTTATATAAGGCATTCTATATCAAAAAGATCTTACGCAATCTTCCCGAGGAACCTGTTCTCCGCATCGAGCTTCCTTAATAAATTAAACATTTATGTGCATTGTCTTTGAACGGGTTTCGCCAATTAGCAACGCTTTGGTTTTAGGGCCAGTCAGAAAGGCGGGTCTTTGTTTATAAAATATTCCTTTTTTATTTTGATATAAGTTCTGCGACTTGCATCTGGTAAATTACATTTAAAATTCCATGTTACTCAGTATGTCATTAAACGTTACGGACTTTTTTGTTAGAGTTATCTAGGCCTTAAAACACTTTAAAAACTTCCGTTTAAGGCAATCAAATTTTGATTAACAATTTCATCTCGATTCTTGTGTTGCTTGGATATTATCATAACTAAATTATGGTTGACCGCTTGAGTTGTTCTGTTGCTTAGACTATTAGGGATCGCTTTCGTTTGGAGTTTATGGGTGAGACCTTCTGATGTGCCATCCCTAAATGTTTGCACGATACGTCCATTTTATGTTGGTATATATATATGCAGAATAAGTTTAGTTTTAACTGTGCTATACATTGACATATGTATGTTTGTGGGTTATGATATAAGTTATCAATTGAATTACTTTTACTAGTGATAATTGCTTTCATTTAGATCCACATCAAACTAAAACTTCGCCTTCGTATCCTGGGATTGTCCATACCATAAACGCAAATTTTTCGATAGATTCTTGCAACTACTTTAGAGGCAAACTAAGAAAGATGTTTCTGGGAGTACAGGTGTAGAGTAGAAAGAAGTTGTGAATGGATATTCGAAAAGGAAATATACGAAGAATGCCAAAAGGGAAATTTTTGTGCCAGCAAATCCTTCTTAGCTGCCGTAACAAAATTGGAACATATCTCCAATCAAACATTAACACTCCATAAAAGTTCCTTATTTAATGCTATACACATTCGTAATCAGATTTTCCAAGCAATTACAATATCTTTTTGTTGGATCAATAAATTATTGGGCTCCATTACATTAAAGGTTAAACGAGGTTTATAATTCTTAAGATCTAACAATATTTATATGTAATATCTTTTGGGATCAACAACACGCACTATACAAAACTCAAACTAGAAACGAAGGAAAATAAACTTTTACACAATTTTTGACTCTCTTTATACAAAACATTACCTAACCGAATTAAGGACTTTTCATCATTTTGACATGCAATCTTTGTGTTCTCTTTCTGTGTTGTTTTGGTTTAAAAATCTACATTAAACTGTTATAAAATAAATTACATCTTAAGTTAGGCATAAATACATGTATAAAGTGTAGCTTAAAAAGTTAACATAAAGTATGGTTTAGTTAGTTCATTTATTTTAGTTAATGTTAGGTGGTGGCGGCGCACGATTGAGTGTCTACGGATTTGTTGGTTTGTTCTTCCGTTTGGCTGCTTTACTTTCTCTCCATGGGCTTGACCTCCAACAACTGAGGATAGTTCTCTACGATGTTGAGTAGGATGGTATCAATGTAGTGCTTTAGCCGAACATTTTCGTCCTCTTTCTCCTGGAAGGCCTGTTGCAGCTGCAAGACATAGGTATTGTTAGTATTCAGGTCAAACTTATGGAAACATATAAACATGGAAGATTTTTTGAGTTTTTATATACACGAATGAATGTTAGACCATGTGAAATTATGTCCTTGATGAGTTTGATAAATTAGAAAACCATGAACCAACATTATTTTTAAGTCAATTTTAGTTTAAGTCAAACTGCAATGCGTGCACAATGGCTCCAAAACCGTGTTGTATTAATTTTTCGTTTTTGTTTGTGGCTTTTGCGTGATTGAAGCATTACCTGACTTAAGGATGCTAATGTGGCTGAATCCACAGAATCCTGTAATACAATAAATGTCAATTTAAATACACATGTGGGCAGATATTATATATAATTTAAAGTGAACGCAGGGCAGTACAGTACGGTCACTAGGTTTTTAATAGCATTCATCAGTTTTTCTTTTGCGGTGACTGTGCGTGTGCTTTTGGGTTTGGCTTCTAAACTGTGTATTTGTGGGTGTGGGGATGACGGATTGGACTACACTAAAAGCGAAAGCAGGCGACACTACAGGCGGGCTCAAACTACACACCTGGGCTTGTGACATCTCCTCGAGCTCCTGGGCCAGACTGTTGAGGGTTCCGTTCAGCAGATGGCGACCCTGCTCCACGCCATTTGTCAGCATGGTTGCCTGGTTGGTCAGCATCGTGGCCTGCAGTTCCTCGTTCTGCTCTTCGAGTGCTGAGGGTGATAAATAGTGAGTTTAGTTGAATTCAATCAAATTTATTATTTAAGAAAAGAAAAAAAAAACAATTTTTGTTCGCATTGACTTTACTCTGTTAACCCATTAATTATACCACCAGTAGGTGGCGCAATGTGCAAATAGCGATTTAAATAAGAAAGAACCAACGACATCTAGTGGTAAGTACTATTTCCCACCTACCGCTGACGACATTGATTTTTTAAACATAATATAACTAATTGATTAATTTGTATAATTTTAAATGGAATTAGAATTTTAAAATCAAATTTATTTTTACTTTTTATACTCAAAGGGGTGAATTTTGCTTTATAAAATTCTTCAAATATTTTCCTTACACTTCTTCTGAAATGTCTTAAAAGTGCTCTTACTGCTAAAAATTAAGAAAAAATACTGACAAAAAAACATTTTTAAAAACACGTCGTATTTTAAGACTAAGAGCAGATCACATCTGTAGGTACAAAAAAACGTTCCCAAATTTAACACAATCCATATGCAGAACAATGCTCAATGAACTTTCCCACTCACATCGATTCTTCTGGCGCATCTCCTCGAGCTCCTGGTGCAGCTCCTCCAGTCTTATGCTCTCCGGCGACGTGGTGGGCATCGCCCGGGCGCCGCTCTCCTCGCGGGCGCGCTGCAGTTCGCGGCTCAGCTCCACCATCAGGTCCTCGGCGGACTTCTTCTCCTGCTCGTGGCGACGCAGCGCTTGGGCCTGCTCCTCGTGCTCCTGCTGCAGGACGCCGATCTGGTCGCGGGCCAGCTCCAGCTGCTCCTCGGTGCGGTGCAGATCGTTGGCCTGCTTGTCGCAAAGGACTCGCAGTCGGGCCGCCTCCTCCCGCAGCGCCGAGGCCTCGATCTCGGTGGCCCGGATCTTCATCTGACAGTTCTCGTTCTGCAGCGAGGCTTCGCGCTCCACGCGGGCCAGGATCTCGCGATGCCGCTTCTGCTCCTCGGCCAAACGCTCCTCGGCACGCAGTTCCGACTGGAAGGGTAAGCAAAAACATTAAATATAAGTACAACTCTTGATGCAGAGACAAGTAGTACTTTGTAAAGATTCTGACATTCTATACTAATTATTTAAAAATGCGAAAAGCCTAAAGAATTTAACAATTTCGATATTTGAAATTTAATAAATTAATATTACAAATTGTTAGACTTTATAAAATTCATTACCAAACAAAAAAAAACATTAGGAACATTTGATCATTGATAACTATTTAGCCATTTTGCAATGCACAAAAACAGAATATTATTTTTTTGTTTTTTTTTTTTTTGTAGCTTTTTTAAATTACAGAGATTTTACCTACAAAGTCATATATATTTAAAATATATTGAATAATTTGTTACTTGTTAAAAATTCGTTTAGACTAAGTTAATATTGTTTTCAAGTGTTTTAACAACACAAATTTACTTTTTGGTTACAATAAACAAAAAGAAAACGAACCATTAAATACATGATTTAACTATATTCTTTTACTTACCTCTCGGTACTGCTCCTCGAGCATATGATATCGCGCCTGGAGCACCGCATATTCGGTCTTGGTGCGGGTCGTCCGATCTTCAGCTATATTCTGCGTATCCGATAAATCGTCGACCTTGCGCTGTAGCAGTTCCAACTGTAAGTATATGGAAGAAATAAAAATTGATAAGTCTATGTTCGAATATAAAAGTTCATGTCTCGACTAACACAATCGTTTTTCATGTGCCGCAGATCGAGGAGCAGATCGTTCACCAACTGCACATCAGCCATGGGATGTTTCACATACATTTGCCTATATCTATATGGTGTGCAACTTTGACTATATCTGTGTATATTTATTTTTCACATTATTGAGGAATGCTCATTTCTCGCAGGCTTAAGAAAAATTCAAATTATTTCTGCATCGTCTCGAAGTCTTTGCTCATTTGATGGTCGAAGCGGACTGCCGACACTTCGTTTGTATTTTCTGAAAGCGACCAACGACAACTCATTGAAAATGCTGTTAATTACACCAGTCAACACAAGCAAACAATATGTTGATAACGAAGCTAGTGCCTGAATATTGAACATTGCGAAAAAACATTTCACTTGAGAAGCACTTTAAATGCTTTTCCTACACATCTGCCATCCCACTTTGGTAGCCCAGTGTTATTGGCATGCCTTGCCCATATGAATCTCATAAATATTAAGCATACGCCCCATAGGCACCCACTTCAGCAGAAGGCGTAAAAAGACACGCACACACTGCCAGTGTTTTGCATTCAAGTTTGGGCCAACTAGTTGATGGCATGTGCAAAAATCTGTTTTCGCCACCACAGATTTGCTGGCTGCTGCTTTTTGCACAATTACTCATGACCCGCCCGCGCATTTAAAAACTTATAGGAAATATAAAAACAGAAGATGTAAACACGAGTCGCTTGCCTGCTTAGCCCGATAAGAAATGTGCAATGACTGCAGTACAGGATGCCTTAGAGCTCTGATAACAGCAAACGGAAACAGGGTGTCTTTGGGCTTTTAACTTAATATTATTTTGTTTCTAAATAGGAAATTAATTAATTACATTTATTTTGAAAATCAATAGGTATAATAAATCAATCAATCATATAATAAAATCCCTTATTACAAGTAATAAAATATTTACTTTGTAGTCAAGGGACAGACCACCGAAAACGCAAATGATTTTCTACCCCAATCTTTAACGTTTGT